CAGTCTCCACTGAGCCTCCTCATCTTGCTCACCCTTCAGTATACTTACTCTTCAGGTGTGTTACCTTTCCAGTAGCACCTCCCTCTCCCTCTCGGTACTCCAGGTCCCCTAGGGTTTCTGCCTCTCAACAAATGCCAGGGCCTTCACTTATACTGTTCCCTCCACCTGGAATACCCTTCCCAATTCTGCCTCTCTCTCTCTCTCTCTCTCTCTCTCTCTCTCTCTCTCTCTCTCTGTCTCTCTCTCTCTCTCCACCACTCCCCCACCTGGATAAATCCTATTCATCCTCAAGACATGAGTTTCAGTGTCATTTCTGCCAGAAAACCATCTCTGACCCCCTATTCTAAGACAATGCCCTACCTTTACCCCATCATGCTGATCATTCATCAGTTGACTTTCCTGTGAGCTCCCCAAGGGCAGAGAGTAGTCTGAAATCCTCAGCTTATGACCAACAGCCACCAGCCCAACACCTGTCCCAGAGCACAAGCTTTCTAAATATTTGCTGAATGAGTGAATCAACTTGAAACCTCTGGGCTTAGTATACATACACATCAATAAGACATGACCTACTAGAGGACAAAGCAGAAGCAAGCAGAAATAACAGCATGGACAGGTATGTGTTAGGTGTTCATTCTAGGGACATGCTGAACTGGTCACTGTCTGCCAGAGATGTCCCCTTGGAGGAATTTATGATGGAGTGGAGCTTGGGGATTTGAGACTTGCGAGCATTCCTCCCCAAGGAGGACACTGGCTCATGGAGGTGAGTGACCTGTCCAAGGTCACACAGTCCCTGCAGACTGTGAGCAAGATGAAGGTACAGACTGTACCTGGCTCATGTTTACCATCAAAGAGGCTCCAGCATCCAACTGAGTGATTTGCAAGTGCACCAAGTGAGTGAATAGATGAGTGAAGGAAAAGAGAAGACAGAGGTTCAAGACAGAGCTGAGACCTGCTCTGGACTGAATGAGACCCCGTCAAATTCATATGTTGAAATCCTCACCCCCAGGATTATAGTATTAAGAAGTGGGGCCTTTGGGAGGTGATCAGATCATGAGGATGGAGCCCTCGTGACTGGGATTGATGCCTTTAGAGGAAAACACACAGGAGATGACCTCTCTCCCCGATATGAGAACACAGTGAGAGTGTGGCTGTGGGTACAAGGCAGGATGAGCCCCTTGCCAGAAACTGACCATGTGGGCACCTTGATCCAGAACTGTGAGAAATAAATGTCTGCTGTTTATAAGCCACTAGTCTATGGTATTTTTGTTGTTGTTCTCAGTCACTCAGTCGTGTCCGACTCTTTGCGACCCTATGGACTGTAGCCCACCAGGCTCCTCCATCCACAGAGTTCTCCAGGCAAGAATACTGGAGTGGGAAGCCATTTCCTTCTCCAAGAGATCTTACAAGATCAGTTCAGTTCAGTTGCTCAGTCATGTCCGACTCTTTGCGACCCCATAAATTGCAGCAAGCCAGGCCTCCCTGTCCATCACAAACTCCTGGAGTTTACTCAAACACATATCCATCGACCTCTTATGGTCTCACTTTTCTATAAACCAAATAAAGGTAATAATATCTACTGCCTAGGATTATTTTGAGTATTGAAGGAAATAATGCATCTGAAAAGGATTAGCATGTTGCCTGATAAGTAAGTGCCCAATATATGTTAATTTNTAAGTTAAATAAGCAGGGTGACAATATACAGCCTTGACGTACTCCTTTTCCTATTTGGAACCAGTCTGTTGTTCCATGTCCAGTTCTAACTGTTGCTTCCTGACCTGCATACAGGTTTCTCAAGAGGCAGGTCAGGTGATCTGGTATTCCCATCTCTTTCAGAATTTTCTACAGTTTATTGTGATCCACACAGTCGAAGGCTTTTGCGTGGTCAATAAAACAGAAATAGATGTTTTTCTGGAACTCTCTTGCTTTTTCGATGATCCAGTGGATATTGGCAATTTGCAAACCCAGGGATCAAATCCATGTCTCCTGTATTTCAGGCAGATTATTAAACATCTGGGCCACTGGGGAAGCCCATAAGCAGCCCCCAAAGGACCAAGACCCCTGTGGTCCTTGTCCTGGTTCTGGTGTGTGTGTCCTCAGTCACTAAGTTGTGTCCGACCTTTTGTGACCCCATTGTAGCCCGCCAGGGTCCTCTGTCCATGGGATTTCCCAGACAAGAATGCTGGAGTGGGATGCCGTTTCCTTCTTCAGAGGATCTTCCTGACCTAGGGATCAACCCAAGTCTTCTGCATCAGCAGGCAGGTTCTTGACTACTGCCACCAGGGAAGCCCCATGGTTCTGGCACCAAGCTCCTAAAACCCTTGGTGTTTCCTAATTGATGAGTTTATGTCAATGAGATGACTTTTGGACTACACCCAAGGATGGGGGCTGGTTGCCAGGTGAATCAACCAATTGATTAGAGAGTTGGAACTTTTGGTCCTACCCTCTAGACATCCGCGGAGGGGAGAGAGGCTGGAGATTGAGTTCAGTGCCAGTGACCAATGCTTAATCAATCATGTCTATAGTGAAACCTCCATTAAAACCCAAGAGGATGGGATTTGGAAGGCTTTCTGGTTGATGAACATGTTTTTAAAACATGGAAGCCCCATACCCTTTCCCTACACCTTGCCCTAGGCAGCTCTTCCATGTGGCCATTCTTGAGTCACATCCTCTTATAATAAACCAGTACCTAGTAAGTAAGCTGGTTTCCTGAGTTTTGTGAGCCACTTTGGCAAATTAATTGAACCCTAGGTGGGGTCCTGGGAACCTCTGATTTATAGCCTCTAGGTCAGAAGCACAGGTAAAGACCTGGACTTGAGAATAGCGTCTGAAGCAGGTTCAATCTTGTGGGACTGAGCCCTTAAGACCTGTAGACTCTGACACTGTGTCTGGGTGGATAGTGTCAGAATTGAGTTGAAGTGTAGGACACCCGGGCTTCCCTAGTTGCTCAGCGGTAAAGAATCCACCTGCAATGCAGGAGCCTCAGGAGGATTAAGTTTGATCTCTGGGTCAGGAAGATCCTCTGGAGAAGGGACTGGCAACCCACTCCAGTATTCTTGCCTGGGAAATCTCAAGGACAGAAGAGTCTGGCAGGTTACAGTCCATGACTGAAGCGACTTAGCACACACACACACAAGTAGGACAGCCAGCAGGTGACATAGGGAAAGGATCCACAGGCTGGAACTGGAGTCAGAGTCTTAGTCGCACTCCCAGAGAACCCAGAGGGTCCCATCCGGACTGTGTAAGACGCACCCCACATGTAGGAGTGCAGGCAGGCAGATTTGCGTTCTGGCTTCAGCTCCAACAATTTTTTTTAACTAGTTAGTTCTATCCCTTACCTCTCTCAGCTCGTTTCCACACCAGTATAAGCCACTCACAAAGCAACTATCGGGTACGAATGGCATTAAAGATGTGCTTCACACAAGCACTATCGATATGAGCGTTTGTTAGGTTTGTTTCAGTTGCCGCCTGCCTCCTGGTAGGAGGCAGCCCAGGGCAGGGTTGGTCAGCCCTCCTCTGTTCAAATGGCCAGAAGTGGTGGCCATTCAACATTGACCTTCAGCCGTGATTTATTCTCCTCCCTCCTGGTCCTCTTGGGGAAGGGGGAAAGGGATGACTCTGCTTCCCTAGGAGGCATCTTCGCCATTCTCCCTCCCTCATCTTCCCCGGACACTCAGGCAGCAAGGCTGTGATTCCATCACCCCTCCTCTCTCTCTCCTCCCGGCCACTGCTTCAGTCCCCACCTCATCCTTCCCTGGCCAATAGCAAGTCCCAGTTAGGTCGCTCTCCATCCTTTGACTCCCCTCTAGCCCACACCTGCCCCCTACCTCCAGCTTCTCACTCAGGCCTGGCTAGGTCACTCCCTTGCTCTAGCGTCGCCCAGGGCTCCCTACTGCCCCAGGAGGAAGTCGACTGCAGCTCCGAGAACATGTGCCTTGCCTCTCATGTTCCCCATGCCCATTCTTCTCTCAGTCCCCAAGCCACGCCCAGGTCTCACATAGCCCCATTCCCATCCCAGGGCCTTTTCTTGGTTATTTCCTTTTCTTCGGGGTCTTCTCTCCAAACCCCCTCATCACCTGCCTAACTGCTCACCCTTCAGGGCTCAGTTCAGAGGCCGCCTCTTCTGAGCAGCCTCCCTTGATCACACCCATCCCCACCCCAACCTGGGTGAGGTGTTCCTCCTTGCTGAAGCCACGTGGCAAGTACATGGCTATGCTGGGATTTAAAGTCAGGCCTTCCTGCTTCCAAAACCGAAAGCCAACCACCAAAGACCGTGAAATTACATATGAATGTGGGAAAGCGTTCGAAATTCTTTCTAGTTTTTGCCATTACCAAAAAAAAAAAAAAAAAGCTGCAGTAAGCATTTGTGCACATATTTTTGTAGAAACCTAATTTGATGGCTAATTCAATGTATGACAAAAACCACTGCAATGCTGTAAAGTAATTAGCCTCCAACTAATAAAAATAAATGGGAAAAAAAAAAANAGAACAATGTATTGGGTTGGCCAAAAAGTTCCTTTGGGTTTTTCCATAAGATATTATGGAAAATATTTATGGAAATATTATGGAAAATGTTCCATAAGATATTATGGAAAACCCAAATGAACTTTTTAGCCAACCCAGTGTATGGTGTGATTCCATTAAAAAAAAAAAACAACCTATGTGTATATAAGTTATCTAAGCAAAGTCAAAGCCTAAATGAACATAAGTGATCTCTTGACAACAGCCATTGGGCAGATGGATTCATACATTCTGTACATTTTGAACTGGTTTGTATATTCTTTATTTTCTAAAAAGATACTCAAACCCCATCAAAGAAACTCAGCAAGAGCTTTTCTCCAATCATAAAGGAAATGCTTGAGTGCTCAAGAATTCTGAGGCTAGGGACAAGCTTTTGGAGGAAGGGCTCACCTCTGACAGCCCGTCGTCTGGAAAGGGACACGGGGATCGGGGATGGTGGCATGAACTGAGAACGATGTGGCTGGCTGGGAAGCCGCACTTACCTTTCCCAGCAGCTCCGGGAGGCCCAGCAGTTGCCCCGCCAAGACCCCGATGCAGATGAAGATGGCGGTCACCTGCCCCAGCAAGCCGCGCATCTCCTTGGGCGAGATCTCACTCAGGTACATGGGGAGCGCGCTGAGGGCGATGCCTGTGGGGGAAGCATGGCGGCCGTGAGAGAGCTGTCTCCTTCACAGAAGATGCTGGTCACCGTACCTCCTTCTGCTTCGCACTTGACAAAAACAGCGCTGTAACCACAGCACCAATCAATGTGCTTCAAGTTAGGTTGGATTCACGCCAGTTTCTAGCCTTCAGGGAAGCCTTTCTGTGAAGGGCTGCCCCCTGTTTATAAGCTGAGCACCTCGTGCATCGCATCTCAGCCCAGGAGAACTTTCTGATTCTAGAACACAAGGCAAACACGCCTAAGATGCAAAGAGACGGCACTGTCTCTGAGATGGCGACATAAATCAGATGCTATTTGAATTGTTATCCCCAACACACATGTTGAGATCACTGGTCCTCATGGAAAAGTCATGCGACCACAGATCAACTTGGCACATGGTTGCTTAGGAGTTGTGGAATAGAAACCTGCAGGATTCAAGACCCACAGCCCTGATTTCCTCTCTAGGTGGCCTTGGAAATAAACTGGATTCTCCTAGCCTCTGCTTTCTCATCTATGATAACTGGCTATTCCTATTGCAGTGGGAATACAAAGACTACATACAAAGCACCTGGCTCATGTGGGGTCATTGGATGGAAGTTTGGGAAACTGTTAGGTCTTTACCCTGACACTCCTGCTACCCTCTAGGGATAATTATCATCACATCCGTGGTGGCTCCGGCTTCCCTTGTAGCTCAGCTGGTAAAGAATCTGCCTGCAATGCAGGAGACCTGAGTTCGACTCCTGGGTTGGGAAGATGACCTGGAGATGGTAAAGGTTACCCACTCCAGTATTCTGGCCTGGAGAACTCCATGGACTGTGTAGTCCTTGGGGTTGCAAAGAGTCGGACACAACTGAGTGACTTTCATTTCACTTCATTTCCCTGGTGGCTCAGATGGTAAAGAATTCGCCTGCAATGCAGGAGACCTGGGCTCAATCCCTGGATCAGGAAGATCAACCTGGAGAAGGGGATGGCTACCCGGTTAAGTATTCTTGCCTGGAGAATCCCATGAACAGAGGAACCTGACAGGCTACAGTCCATGGGGTTGCAAAGAGTCAGACACAACCGAATGACTGACACTAACTCAAAAAGCTAGTAAGGAAATATTAGGGCCAGTAGAAAATATAGGGCCAGTGGATCGTGGTGAAGGACAGTAAGCATGCCTCCTTCACGAGGTGCTGTTCAGACTGCATCCCTGGAGGCCAGGGGATGCTCAGCAGAGGGCCAGGCCCATGGGACTCTGTCAATTAACCAAGACCCTTCTGACTTGTCCGTTGTGAAGTGATACGGAAAAATGAGATGTTGATGGCTCAACAGGTGAGGAGATAGCCGCTGTATGATGACCAGCTCATCCCTGTTTGCAGGGGACCAACTTGGCTTTAGGGCTTCCCCGGTGGCTCAGTGGTAAAGAATCTGCCTACCAAGGCATGAAACACAGGTTCTTTCCCTGGGTCGGAAAGGACCCCTGGAGGAGGAAATGGCCACCTGCTCCAGTATTCTTGCCTGGGAAATCCCATGGACAGAGGAGCCTGGCAGGCCACTATCCATAGGATCACAGAAGAGTCCAGCACAACTTAGTGACTAAATAACAACAATGACATCCTGGCTTTAGCACTGAAAGCTCTGTATCCTGGGAAGATTCTGAGTTCTAGGCAAACGAGGATGGTTGCTTGTCTGGAACCTGTGGTGTGGTACCAAGCGTCCCATATACCTGAGTGGACCCTCTCAACCTACAACCCTGTTGCCTACCATTCTCCCTGCCCCTTGCCCCCAGGTGTTCCAACCATAAGGTTTCAGGACTCTCCAGGTTCATCCTGATCATGGGACACCAGCCTTCGCTGCTGTTTCTCCCAAGTGCTCTGTCCTCACAGCTCCATGGATGGATGCTCTCCTATCCCTCCGGTCTCAGTCCAGCCTCACTACCTCCTGTTAATGGGACCTAATGAGACCCAAGGGGGTCCTTTGCAGATGTAGCCAGGTTAAGGTGAGGTCACACTGGCTTAGCATGGGCCCTCAACCCAGTGACTGGTGTCCTTACCAGATGGTAAGACACTTGGAGACACAAAGGGAAGAGGGGCACTTGACGATGGAGCAGAGATTGGAGTGATGGGTCCACAAGCCAGGGAATGCAGCACCAGAAGCCAGGAGAGGACATGAAATAGAGCCCCCCTTACAGCCTCTGGAAGGGACCAACCCTGCAGATACCTTGATTTTGGACTTCTGGCCCCCAGAACTCTTTTTTTAAGCAACCGAATGACTGACACTAACTCAAAAAGCTAGTAAGGAAATATTAGGGCCAGTAGAAAATATAGGGCCAGTGGATCGTGGTGAAGGACAGTAAGCATGCCTCCTTCACGAGGTGCTGTGCAGACTGCATCCCTGGAGGCCAGGGGATGCTCAGCAGAGGGCCAGGCCCATGGGACGCTGTCAATTAACCGAGACCCTTCTGACTTGTCCGTTGTGAAGTGATACGGAAAAATGAGATGTTGATGGCTCAACAGGTGAGGACATAGCCGCTGTATGATGACCAGCTCATCCCCGTTTGCAGGGGACCAACTTGGCTTTAGGGCTTCCCCGGTGGCTCAGTGGTAAAGAATCTGCCTACCAAGGCATGAAACACAGGTTCTTTCCCTGGGTCGGAAAGGACCCCTGGAGGAGGAAATGGCCACCTGCTCCAGTATTCTTGCCTGGGAAATCCCATGGACAGAGGAGCCTGGCAGGCCACTATCCATAGGATCACAGAAGAGTCCAGCACAACTTAGTGACTAAATAACAACAATGACATCCTGGCTTTAGCACTGAAAGCTCTGTATCCTGGGAAGATTCTGAGTTCTAGGCAAACGAGGATGGTTGCTTATCTGGAACCTGTGGTGTGGTACCAAGCGCCCCATATACCTGAGTGGACCCTCTCAACCTACAACCCTGTTGCCTACCATTCTCCCTGCCCCTTGCCCCCAGGTGTTCCAACCATAAGGTTTCAGGACTCTCCAGGTTCATCCTGATCATGGGACACCAGCCTTCGCTGCTGTTTCTCCCAAGTGCTCTGTCCTCACAGCTCCATGGATGGATGCTCTCCTATCCCTCCGGTCTCAGTCCAGCCTCACTACCTCCTGTTAATGGGACCTAATGAGACCCAAGGGGGTCCTTTGCAGATGTAGCCAGGTTAAGGTGAGGTCACACTGGCTTAGCATGGGCCCTCAACCCAGTGACTGGTGTCCTTACCAGATGGTAAGACACTTGGAGACACAAAGGGAAGAGGGGCACTTGACGATGGAGCAGAGATTGGAGTGATGGGTCCACAAGCCAGGGAATGCAGCACCAGAAGCCAGGAGAGGACATGAAATAGAGCCCCCCTTACAGCCTCTGGAAGGGACCAACCCTGCAGATACCTTGATTTTGGACTTCTGGCCCCCAGAACTCTTTTTTTAAGCCCCCCAGTTTGGTGACTGCAGCCACAAGAAATTGCCACAGCTCCTCACGAGGCCTTCACCTCTGGAAATCAACCCTTCCCCATCACGCTTATGTTCAGTCTTATGTTCCTCATGGCACCTAGTGCTTTTTGAAAGTTATCTTGTTCAGTATTTACAGCGGACCCTTGAACAACATGGGCTTGAATCACACAGGTCCACTTATAGTTAGATTTTTTAAAAATAATATTTATTTTGTTCACTGTGCCAGGTCCTAGTGGCAAGCACACATGATCTTTAGTTGTGGCATGCAAACTCTTAGTTGCGACTTGTGGATCTAGTTCCCCGACCAGGGATTGAACCTGGGCTCCCTGCATTCCGAGTTTGGAGCCTTAGCCACTGGACCACCAGGGATGTCCCCTGGAGAGTTCTTAATGCAGCAGACATGGGCTTGCATCCCTGGGAGTTTGGACAGCCATGGGAAGGTGGTGGAAGGAGCCTGTCCACCACAATCATCCACAAACACATTTGCACCCTGATCTCAGCTTTACAATCTGCATGGATTCGGCCTCCAATCCATGTTGCACCATGTTAGTTTCAGTGTCAAAATAATGTGTTTATTTTTGTTCCAAGCCTTCTGGAAATAGGACACTTTAGGCAGGTGTCCGACATTTTCTGCGATAATTCCAAATATTCCCTCTGAGAACCCAGTTAGAGCAGCACAACCTCCTGAAAATCCTCCAGGCTTCTCGTTTGGCTTTAAATTATTTATTTTGAGCAGGACAGCAACTCATCTCATGACCAGCAATTTTCTCTTCTTTCTTACCCGCCACTTCACCTTAAGTGCCCTCATATTCCAGTCTCTGCTTTGAGAGGGTCTGATGAGAATAAATGACACGCAGCTTCCACATCTTGGCTCAGCTGCAACAGGCCACATTAGGAGTCAGAAAGAGTGTGTCTCCCCTCACCCACTTCTTGATTTTACATTTTTCTACTTCTTTTGGAAAAGTTCACAGGACAAGAAGTTTAAAAGATGTTTGTCTTGAATATGTGGTTTTATAAAAATGGCATCTCTCTTTGAATCCAGCTTATTTTTAATTAGGGAAATTCAGAGAGCATCCAGTTATGTGTGATGAGTAAGTGTCACCTCCCCCAGACTAGCTAGATGGGCGAAGTAGCAGGGAAGAGGCTAAGTGGATAAAATACAAAACTGCCAGGAAGACAGGCTTCAGAGGACTCCATCAAGAAAGGACTTTCAGATGCTCCCATCTCACCAGCCTTCCTCCTGAGCAGGCAGGGACTTCAAACCCAGACCATCTGTCCGAATCTTGAATCTGTATCTTCTTGTTCATTCGCTCAGTCGTGTCTGACTCTGCGACCCCATGGACTGCAACTTGCCAGGCTTTGCTCTCCTTCACTGTCCCCCAGAATTTGCTCTAACTCATGTCTGTTGAGTAGGTGATGCCACCCGACCATCTCATCCTCTGTCACCCCCTTCTTCCCCTGCCTTCAATCCTTCCCAGCCTCAGGGACTTTTCCAATGAGTTGGCTCTTCCTATCAGGTGGCCAAAGTACTGGAGCTTCAACTTCAGCATCAGTCCTTCCAATGAATATTCAGGGTTGATTTCCTTCAGGATTGACTGGTTTGATCTTCTACAGTCCAAGGGACTCTCAAGAGTCTTCTCCAACACCACAGTTCAAAAGCACCAATTCTTCAGCACTCAGCCTTCTTTATGGTCCAGCACTCACATCCATACATGATGATCTTGTTAACAGAATAAAAATGATAACAGCAACAGTAATGGCAATGCTACCATTACTGGTGCTGTGGGGAGGTAACAGGGCCTGGAATATGCTCACTGTGCACACACAGCACAACTTTAAATTTTACATTCCCTAACAAGAAGGTTTAGGAGTACTTGTGACTCTCAAGAGTCTTCTCCAACACCACAGTTCAAGAGCATCAGTTCTTCAGCACTCAGCCTTCTTTATGGTCCAACTCTCACATCCATACATGACGATCTCGTTAACAGAATAAAAATGATAACAGCAACAATAATGGCAATGCTACCATTACTGGTGCCGTGGGGAGGTAACAGGGCCTGGAATATGCTCACTGTGCACACACAGCACAACTTTAAATTTTACATTCCCTAACAAGAAGGTTTAGGAGTACTTGGTCCTTTTGCATAAGAGAGAAAGAGGCTAAGACCGGCAGGCAGACTGCAGCCATCCAGGCTCCCTGTGTCCGCATCCTTGGGTGGCTGGACGCCTCTCACCCTGACTCTGCACCTGGCCATGGCACTCAGCTTGGCCAGTGGGACTCTAGCGAGTGTGTCCAAGCAGACTTGACAAGCGCTCGAAGATGGGACTTGCCCCTCTTGCTGCTCACTGGAACCCCAAAAATCTCCCTGGAAGAGGCTTCACCCCATTATTTAGGGACTGGGGTGTCTGTTCACCACTGTGTCCCCAGCATAGATGAACACCAGGCACAGCTTGTGCTCTGTAAATGCTTGGAGCATAAAAGAAAGAATGAATGAGTCCGAGGCCCAGACAGGAAACAACCCTCATAAAAACTCCCTGACATAAAAACCCACAGACCTCTTGGGATAAGAATTTTATGTTGAAGATGACAAAAAGAACACATGATGCGTAGAAAACCATTCCTGTCTTTGGTATTGGTTTGGGATCATCCCAGTCTACACTTCTCCATGAGAGGAGCATTGTGGGTGAGTGGTCCATCCCATGGGGCTGCCTCACTCCATGCTGGGTTCTCGCATCCTCGTGCATGCTAAGTTGCTTCAGTCGTGTCTGACTCTTTGCAACCATATGGACTGCAGCCCGCCAGGCTCCTCTGTCCATGCCATTCTCCAGGCAAGAATACTGGAGTGGGTTGCCATGTTCTCCTCCAGGGAATCTTCCTGACTCAAGGATCGAACCCATGTCTCCTGCATCTCCTGCACTGGCAGCTGGGTTCTTTATCACTAGCACCACCTGGGAAGCCCTCTTGCATCCTCAGTCTCTGCCAATTCAGTATCAGTAGGGACCCAGTTGTCTGACAGCCACAAAATACCCATCACATTTTGATAGACACACACCTCCCCGCCGAGGAATGTGTTACTGCCTCCTCCTCTGACACGACGAAGTCTCACCTCCATGTACGCCCATGATGAAACGTCCCACGATGAGCATTTCCAAGGCTCCAGCTGGGAGAGAACAGGCCATCAGCAACGCGGCAGAAATCCCAAATCCATTGTTGACCAGCAAAGTGTTCTTCCTGGAAGAAAAAGAAAAGGTTTGATGAGGCTGCCACTGGCCTATCCACTCCAGGAGCAAGGTCCAGACTCCTTAATGGACCCACCACCACTTTTGGCCATGTGACCCTAAGCAAAGCATTTCCTTCCTCTGGGCTCTCCACTGGGGTTGATTAGGTTACCTCTGAAGGCATCGCCAGCCCTGACCTTCTGTGGATTTCCCTGGTGTAGTGTTTTATTTCATTGGTTCTAAGACCTTCATTTAACATTACAAAGTCAAAAATGTGTCTTATAATCCATGAGTCAGAGGTCAGGTAGGAAAATGAAAACCACTGTAGTTAGTTTAACAGAGAGAATTTAACATAGGGAATTTGTTAAGCAAGTACCAGGGGGTGGAGATGTCGAAAGGGGGACCTCTGAAGTGGGTGTGATGTCCTGTGGTGCTGATGCCTCAGGAGCTTGGAAGGGAGCCTAAAATCTTCAGAAGTGGTCTCTGATCCAATGGGGTCATTCTATCTCACTAAAAGAAAGTGAAAGTGAAGTTTGCTCAGTCTGGTCCGACTCTTTGCGACCCCGTGGACTGTATAGTCCATGGAATTCTCCAGGCCAGAATACTGGAGTGGGTACCCTTTCCCTTCTCCAGGGGATCTTCCCAACCCAGGGATCGAACCCAGGTCTCCTGCAGTGCAGGCGGATTCTTTACCAACTGAGCTATGAGGGAAGCATCTCACTAAAGCCTCAATTCAAATGTGACCTCCTGACACCCTTTGCCATGACCACTTTCCCCAGTTGCACAGCCCATCCTCTCACCCTGTTCTAGCCTCTCCACAGCCCCAACATTACAGGAAATTATCCTCCTGTTACTTGTTTTATGCTAGCTGTCCATCTTCCTGTATTAGAATGTAAGCACTAGTGGGCAGAGACTTTGTCTTGTCACTCTGTCCCCAGCAACTACACCAGTTCCTGACTCAGGCAGGTGACCCATATATATTTGCTGCATGAATGAAGGAATGAATCTAGGAGTCATGTCACGTGGACCCCACTTGCCCCACATGACCCAGCTCTGATCTGCCATGAGTCTCACTTTAGCTTCCACATCTGCGGGCTGCACAGCTGCCGTTCTGAACCCACCTCCAGTAATGTTCCTGCTTGGACAGTCCATAGTAATTGAACAACTTTGGAAAGACTTCTTACCTCTCTCAGTCTTGACCTGATTTACTCCCCTAGAAAATGAACATAATAATGTCTATCTTGTAAGGATTCTATGAGAATGATTTATGTAAAGTGCCTAGGATGTCACCTGGAACGTGAGATTGGAGACTCAGTAAGGTAAACAAACAAACCATGATGATAGCTAACATTCATAGAGTCCTTATGATGTGCCAGGCACCAAGTCCTTTACACTCATTGAAGACCCTGTAAGTTAGGTGACTTACTACTGTATTTTCCACATGAAGAAACAGATCTAGAAACTAAGATTTGGCCAAGGTCAATAGGGCTTCCCTGATAGCTCAGTTGGTAAAGAATCCGCCCGCAATGCAGGAGACCCCAGGTTGATTCCTGAGTGGGGAAGATCGTCTGGAGAAGGGGTAGGCTACCCACTCCAGTATTCTTGCGCTTCCCCGGTGGTTCAGCTGGTAAAAAAAATCTGCTTGCAATTTAGGAGACCTGGGTATGATCGCTGGGTTGGGAAGATCCTCTGGAGAAGGGAATAGCTACCCACTCCAGTATTCTGGCCTGGAGAATTCCATGGACTTGTATAGTCCATGGATTCGCAGAGTTGGACACAACTGAGAGACTTTCACTTTCTTTGTTTCTTAAAGGTCACAAGCTATTCAGTGGTCTATTTGGCATTCCAGAATCCAGGATACTAAGCTGTTTGCAATGGTGGCTACCACATATACTCACATTCATTCATTCTTTCAGCAGTCTTTTTTTCATTCAGCTGACATTTATTCACTCAACACATGTTTGAAGCTGGACTGGGTGCTGAGTAGCATTCTACGTTGTGGCACACAGCCATGGATGTGGCCAAGTCCCTGATTTTATGCTCCTCTTAATAAACAAGTAAAAATAAAACATGTGGAGCATATAATCTGGTGAGAAATGTTGTAGAGAATATAAGAGCAGGGGAGTGGGTGCAATTTTACACGGAGTGGCCAGGGAGGGCCTGCCAACAAGCTAACACCTGAGCACAGACAGAAGAAAGTGGGTGATTTGAAGAATGAGAAGACGAGCTATATGGACCCTGGGGAGCAGCAATCATGCAGAGAAGAGCCAGACGTAGACTGTTTCAGCAACATTAGTGAGGCCAGTGTGGCTGGAAGCAGAGGAGACCCAGAGAGCAAGCAGTAGAAGGTGAAAGTGGAGGGGACTGGAGCTTGTAAGGGGTCTGCAGGCCACCATGAGAACTTGGGTTTCTATTTGAATAAGAAGGGCAGCCTTTGAAGTTTCAAAGGAGAGAAGAGGCATGGCCTGATTTTAATCAGACCTTTCCATCTTCTGTGTTGACCATGGGATGCAGGGGTAAGTGTGGGGTCAGGGAGGCCAATTGGGAATATTGCAATAGATCGGGCAAGTGCTCACAGGAATTTGGATCAGGATGGTGGAGGGAGTGAGCCATGGCAGGATCTTGGTGTGTTTTGAAGACAGAATTGATGGAATTGGTTGGTAGTGATATTGTGATTTATAGTAGCAAAAATATACAGTCTTCATCCCTGGTTTCCAGCTCATGGTTCCTAAAACCCTTGGAATTTCCCAACTGATAAGAACCATGGGGCATCTTTTGTTATAATATTTCATCACTAGACCTCATTTCCTAAAATCGCTTCAGAGCCAGAACAATGAAATCAATGTTGTGCTATTCATAACAAGCCCACAAGTGAGCTCATGTCAATTCAGTGACTTTTGGAAAAGAACTAAGGATGGCGGGATGGTTGCCAGATGGAGCCAGTCATGTGGCTAGAATGTTGAAACTTTCAATCCCATCCTGACCTCCAAAGAGAGGAGAGGGGCTGGAGATTGAGTGCAAACACCCATGGCCAATGACTTAAGCAACCATGCCTGTGTAACAAAGCTTCCATAAACCCCAAAAGGACAAGGTTTGGGGAGCTTGTAGATTGATGACCATGAGTAGATTTGGGGAGAGTGGTGCATTCAAAGAGAGCATGGAAGCTCTGCCCCCCTCCCCATCTTTGTCCCATGCGTTTTTTGCATCTGGCTGATCCCAGTTATATCCTTCTGTAATAAACCAGTGATCTACTAAGGAAAATGTTTCTGTATGTTCTATGAGCTGCTCTAGCAATTAAAACCCTAAGAGGGGGATCCTTGGAAGCTCTGGTTTATAGCTGGTGATTTTGGAAAGGAAATAAGGATGGGGGGATGGTTGTCGGTGGAGTCAACCATGTGATTAGAAGATTGAAACTTTCAATCCCATCCCTACCTACAGAGAGAGGAGAGGGGCTGGAGACTAAGTCAGAAGCATAGTTGACAACCATGACATGCTATTAGCATCTGGAGTTGGAAGAGGGGAGGGGAAGTCTTGCAAGACTAAACCCTTAACCTGAAAGCCAAGGCAGGGGCTCTTTGGAACCTCCAGTTCAGAGACAGATGGTCAGAAGCTCAGGTGACAACCTGGGCCTGGGACTGATTTCTGAACTGGGAGAGGGGCAATCTGGTGGGACTGAGCCCTCGATATTGTAATCTGATACCATCACTCGGTAGATAGTGTCAGAATGGAGGTGAATTATAGAACAGACAGCTGGTATCTGGAAAATGTCTTGATGATGTAGGGAATACCCCCACCCTGGCCACAGACACTGGAAACTGGTATTCAGAACCTAAAATATGGATGAGTTGGATAGAAGTGGAGAGAGGAAGAGAAGCCATGGATGCCTCCCAGGACTTGGGTCTGAGCTCTTGCATTGGATAGAATGGTGCATTTTGTGCTATGCAGGGGATGTTAAAATCACATTCAAGTCTGACTTGAAACATTTGCAAATTGGGCTGCACACCTTCTAAGCAAGTGTCTCATATTAATGAATTTCTTCCCAAAATAACCCCCAGCATGACAATGTCCCAGTGAGGAGGGAAAACTTATTTGCAGATAATTCAAACACTGACTCACTAGCGTTCAGAGACGGGGATTTTAATTATTGTGTTTCCATATTTTTCCCAGGGATGAACATGCAACAGAACAAGAGGGACCAGCACCATGCCGTTTCTGAGAGCAGAACTCCAGTGCCCCCTGGGACCCCCAACTGCGTACACCTGATTCAGTGCTTTGAGCTTCTCCAGTGATGCAGAATCTTCCCAGAGCAGCCCAGATTGTCAGCTCTTGGCAGCAAGGGGTAACAAGGAGTTTGGAGGCCATGTCCTTGAGAAAAGGTCAAAGGGACTGGGGACATTCAGCCCAGATAAGAGAGGGTTCAGGGAAAGTGTGAGAGCTGCCTTCCACTATTTTACCTTGATGCGCAGGACCACGATCAGGAGATACAGGGACTACAATTTCAGTTTGGATTTGGAAAGTACTTTTCATTAAGCCCTAGTAAAATGGGGGAAATTCTGGAGATGCTGGCTCCTACCACTTACCCTTCCAACAGTTCTTTAGCTGACCAAGCCTATAAGCCAAGATGGGATCTAGCTTCTACCGTGTCCGTCTATTCCTGCTTATCCAGCTTGAATTCCAAGGTCCATCATTTTAAACATTCATACACCCTCCATTCCTTGATCCGCTCACTCTTCTCCTTCATTCTGTGTTGCTGAGATAACGCCAACCCTAGTTAGATCTCAGTCTATCTTGCACATGTATACAAAGTTCATCTTGGCTGGGAAAAAAAAATACATTGAATTATGTTGCCTGGTCTCACTTGAAATTCATGACCACCCAACTCAAGTGGTCTTTAAGCCCCCTACCAACCATTCTAGAGTTTCCTGTTTTGCTCAGTCTCCCGGTCTCCTAGGGAACTATTTCAAGCACCTTCTCTCTCTTTTAATCCCCTTGTCCTGTTCCTCAGCTGATGAC